CCTTCGTGTCCACAGGCCCTCCAGTCGAGTCATTGATCGTCGGCCTCGGTGGTCTCACCTGACCCCTCGGAAACTAAGAAGGTGGACCCATGCCCCTGCGCCTCTACTTCTTCTGCATGCGCCATTGGTGATACATTTGGTACGATTTATCTGTGGCATGGTGTCCTGCACAGATGAAGGGATGATAAATGCAGTTTTCAAACGATAAAAAAGTTTTCACTTTTCAAACGGCAACCGGGAGGCAGGACATCAGTGGTTCTTATCGTAGGTAGCAGATTAAGAGTGCAGGCTCTCTTCCCTCCAACTTCGGGCAACATTACACATTAACTCTCTGGCGACGCATGGAAAGCACCGAGGTGTAAATCTCGCCCCCCCCCCCCCTCTCTCCATCAGTTTTCTGCCGTTAACCACTTCTTTGTGAGAAGAAGATTTTATGAACAGAGCATTTTATGTGATCATAGTTATCGCATGCATGCACATACAGCCTTACCAGTATACGCTCAAATCTTCAAAGTAAAAATTTCCTGGATACCAAGTTTTCAGGAGAATCATCATCACCACTAACACGTTGTTGATTGGATGTGTTGAGTAAAGCAATATAATATGCCTTGCAGGGTTCACAGATGACATTTACCGCATATCGACAATTTGGCTACCTTCAGCAACAGTTTCTGCTGGATATCACTGTTTGGCTTCTTGAGTGAATCAAGACTATGTTAGTGGCAAATTGATATTCACAGCTGTGTGACATGCAGGAGAGTGTTTATTAATTCTAGACTGAAATGAGCCCGTCCGCAAATAAGCTACCCGTTTAATGCTGTCTTTACGATATAATGGCAATACAGACCGTGCTAATTCATGCTTGCCAACCGGCCAGCTCACAAAATATGTGCTGCAGTGGGTAGTATGCAAGGTCTACGCCACCGATACTCAGCCTTTCATACAAAGTCCGGGTATCCACAAACAACAAGCCTCCTAGATCGACAGTGCTTTCTAAAGCTACAGCCAGAGGCACAGGACACAGACAGCACAGGCACAGCGAGCACAGGTACAGCTCTAGAAGAGCCGCACAGAGCCCTAAAGAAACGGACGATCAACTACGTCTTTCAAGCTAACCAGCTTCTCACGACACGAACATAACCATCGTCAGCCTACAGCCTTGCACTGAACCAAATTCATGGCCGTATGGCGAGCATACGAAGCCATATGTCTCAAATGGCACGACGCTTCAAAACACCGCGTAGCAGACTGATGACTTCCGTCGCAAGATACTGAGGTCAGCTACGATTATAACGAATGGTACTTAGGCCCGTTTTTTGGTATTGTATACTGTTTAGTGTGTAAAGTAGCTCTTGGCTATAAAATCTGTGAAAACACTGATCTGAGGGGCATCGGAGAAACATTGCCACGACTGATCTGTCAAATCAGCACCAATACAGCACAGTTTGCAGCTTGTTTCTGTCGCCTACTAAAAATGCTATCCTGATTTGAGCTACTGTGTTTCGAGATATTTTGTGGCTCAACTTGCTTAAAACAAAACGTCGGGGTTTCGACATGTTCTCTACACAGCACACGGTGAAGCGTTAGCGATGCAGACTAAGACTAAACTTTGAGTTTCGTCTGACTGAAAACGTCTGTTGTAATTTGTTTCATGTCCCTCATTTTGGCACCAAAAAGCCTGAGAGGCCTGAGCCCCTCCCAAGGCACATATTTTTCGTTTGTTAGTCCATAGGGGCCGCACAGAAAGCTGGAAGTCGCGTGATGCGTACCCACCGAAGCTTCGGCATCTCCCTGAAAAAAATCCTGGCTTTGCCCCTGCCTTGAGTACTTGATCCGTAGCTGCGTTCCACGCATAGGCTAGAGGCGAAAGGCCATGGACATTCGTGAAAGACCAGCCCTCGTTGAAAGGTTAGCCCTTTTTGCGTTCTTTGGATTTTGGGATGGTAGCTTAACTGTTCATCGCATCATAATAAAGCTTGGGGCACGTGAGTTTGGAACTGGTTTACAACTGGCCGGCCATTTTAAGTCCTTACCATACGAAAACTTGACCATAATTCTCTCGTTTTCAAGGAACTGTGCGGCGAATGTGTACAAAATGACACCACGTGACACATTCTTGGCTCTGGGCTAACAAGGCCTTCTGATCCAGTGACCCCGGCTGTGCGAGCGCGTAAAGCGGTTATGTCATTTACTACAATAATAATCACGACATTTATGGCCATTTGAGGCCAGGTTTCGTCGAGTCCAACCTCGCAAATGAATATCATACACAGCACAACCTCAATTTGTCACAATCCACCATGTAGATCTTTAGTGGTCACAGAGTCTCATGGCTCAGTCACCCCATCTGGCAAAAGCTACAGTCATGAAGACATTGTGCTTACCGCCCCTAAGACAGCTAAAAGTTCATTAAGTACAAAAGTGTATCATGCCCTCTGATTCCTTGCGTGTCCTTTCACCAGGAGCTTTCTCTTTACCCTGTGGCGAGCTTGTAAAGTTTGGCTTGCCTTGGCGAATTAGGTGAGGAATTCGTCATAGTGGGCCCTCATGTCGGCAGTAATCCGTTGCAATAGAGCTGAAGACAAGCTACATAAGTGGCAACATTTTAAGCGTTTGGAAATTGGAAGGCTAGAACCTTGCTTTTTGGATTTTTTCTTGCTCGCTCGCAGGAAAACAGAAATATATTTTGGCAGGATCAGTCGCTTTAAGGAGAGGGGCTTCGGAGATAAAAAGGTATCCATTTCAGCAAACAGCTCGGAAGATTTTGTTCTTTAAAAAATCGCAGTGCGTTTCGCGTCAATGTGCCATGCGTCCTGCGCTAACCACGGCTCAGAGCATTTAATGAGACGATGCATCAGTAACGGGAAATGCTGAACCCTTGATTGAATTTGCAGAGAAATGGGCTTCATTGGTACTCAATGTAGCATGTAGCTCCCCATTAATCAACGGGGCTGGACCAGACAACCCGGGAGTTTGTAAGTGATTGACTAATCAAGATTAAGCTGGCTTGGATTTGTCGTTGCTTTACAATTAGATCAACCAGACAACTTCGGGAACGACAAATTAGCAGCCATTAGGCCCGATTTAACACAGATATACCCATTTGCATAAGAAACGGCCAATTTCACCCAGCTTGCGGCAAAAAGGACTACTCTAATCAGGTTCAGTTCGTGTAGGCGAAAACGTCGCCCTTACTACTCGCGCTGCATCCGGTGGGGGGGGGGGGGGGGGGGGGGGGGGGGCGGATGGACGGGCGGTGCTCGGAGCAGCCGGGTGCCCGCTGCGCGCTCGCCCTAGCCGCGTATGATCCAGACATCTGCCGCTCCCTGGGCAGCACATTCATTTCCGGCCGAATACCTTCTGGCACGGCTGATCCCATCCATCTGTCTTCTAGACGCTCATTTCGACGCCCCGGGACTCCGTTTGACGTCACAGCCTGCCTCTCCGCGCCCTGATAGGACACTCTATATGAGACAGAATTGTTCGCAAGAGACCCTGTACATCGTCGTCTTGTTCGTGGTGGAAGCTTATCGCTACCTGTACTGCTTGCGCAATTCAGCAGTTGGCGAATATACTGTGGTATGTACCGATGCATTGCTTTGCTAGTTCCGCGGTCAGTAGACCAACCGTGAGTTTTGAACAGTCACGTCTTCTTCTCCACTGAAAGAACATAACACCACTCTCCTTAGAAACTGTTTTGGCTGTTTGTCCCAATTGGTTCGTCGATGACCCAGCGATGCAAAAACATCTATCATATTTACCCATTGATGCGACCTCACGACCCAGAAAAACCACATTGGTTATCCACAGCCACTGGTGTTTGGCTTGAGCCTAAATTTGAGTTAGCCTTAACGAGGGGCTCGTTTCAGGTCCGATATCGCATTATCCTTCTGAGGGCATCGCCGGTTTTTGGTCCTGACTTACCACTATCCAACTGGCTGTGTTCAGATGTGATGTACGGAGGTCCGCAGAGAACGCATCGTAGCCCGACGCGTGTACCCTCGGTGTCAGGTCATTCACCTCTGACACCTACGTCCCCCGTGCTGCAGGACTCTCGGCTCAGAAGAGTGAAGAGCGGGCTCGTCTCCGACCTGTTCTTCGGCTACAACAAGCTGATCCGGCCGGTGGAGAACTGACTCGCACCGTCACTGTAACAGTTCGGCCTGGCCTTCATTCAAGCTCATACACGTGGTACGTGACTGACCCTTGCGATTTTATTGACGCGAATATGATCTCAGTGGTTACGACTGTCAGTAAATGGTGCATCAAGTCATGGTCCAGCGGGAGTTCTCCATTCCCCCTCGGATTGTGGGCAACAGGTCCCGTAGGCAGCACAAGTGTCAATAATAAGGTGATAAATAAATGCCAATGCGTTGTTGTACCCATAGCCATTCATACAACTCATCAAAGGTTGCAATGCAACATTTGATGTTAAATGTGCACTGCGATGTGCATTTGTGCGTCAACATTGTACGTAGTTTACGTTAGTAGAGTCTCATTGTTCTGTTTCCAGAATGAGAAAACCAGATCATGAAGTCCAACGTTTGGCTCCGACTGGTAAGTGCTGCCGATTTAAATTCTGCATGCGTGTGATATTATCAAGAACATGAGAACCAAGCCATAGCGCTGTCACTCGAAAGTATGAAGTTACGTCTTGCGTGGGTGACATCATCTGTCTGAAAAGTTTTAATTGTTCCCCTTGTGTTTTTCGCTCGCTGTTTTTTTCGTTGTTTTAACGCTAGTTAACACCTTCTTGCGGGCATCTTATGTTTATGCAACTCTCGAATGGGTCCTTGAATTTAAAAGCGCCCAGACCATGTCTTATCCTCGCTATAGGTATTCAGTTGGCCATAGTAGCAAACTAATGGCATTAGAACACTTTTCTCTGCAAGCAAATGGCACACTAATAATTGTGATCCTAGACTTTGTGTGTGTTGAGACATGCGAGAGGCTGTAAAGGTCTTAGCCACAGCAAGCCAAAATATTTGATATATTCGTCTGAAGTGTAATTTTTGTACGTTTATTGGTTGTTTAGCTAGAAGTGATCGTTTCATGGTGGATACATGTGATATGTGCTCCCAGCTATTTGGACTGTTTGGAAAGACAAGCATGGCTTGCGACAACAATGAAGAACACCTAGCAGAATAGTTGCACACAATACCTCTACATACAACCCGAACACCATGCTAAGTTCAGAATGCACCTCATAGCAATGAAAGCGTGGGGCAGAATAGTATTTGCATACATATTTGTATTTCCTGAGTTGTCCGAGGTACCTTGTAAATGGAGCAGTACGTGAGTAATGCACGAATCTGCGGTTTGTAGTGTCATGGCCGTTGAAGCCAGATAACGTCAACCGTCGCCCGATAACATGACTCAGGGTAAAGCAACGATTGCATAGTGCGAACGCTCTTTCTGTACACATCACTCTCATTGTGTTACCGCAACCTGTCCTAGATGGCGGCCACCTGTCTCCTGCATGACCGGACACAGTTCAGGATACCAAACGATAGCGAGAGGTCGAGCCTGTGCGACCACTGCACAGTACAGGTCAACGTGTTCATAAACATTACGCGCGAGGGCACGTCTTCCCCTTGATGTATTTTTAGATGCTCAACACGGCTACGCTGAGCTGAGAGTCGGGCGACGGAGTTCGCCGTCGTCGTCTGATCGAGCCACAGTGACGTCATCTGCGGTCATCAATCTGTCTCGCTTGCCTGTCGGCTGAGCGATACAGCATTCACTTTGTTGTATAAATCTGAGTTTGTGGTGTGTTTTTGACGACACATGATATTAAACGACGCAATAAACATAAGCTTGGACATGTGAGTGATAAAGCATTGCGTACGTAGTGTTCACATCAAATGAACACCAATCACACAGCACCGATTGAAATGATTGCTGTGCCTCTGTGATGGCCATGATGCATCCACGCTGCTATTGTCCGGTGTGCCACGAGCAACACGGGCCTTCTCAAGAATGTCCATTCGGGAACGAGCTTCCGGTCCCTGGTTCTGGAACCTAGGAAAAATCAGGATCGGTTGGAGATGAAACCAGAGAGCCCTCAAGGACCATCCAGGACCAATGATTGTGCCGAGGGCAATAGCTATAACAGTGATCCAGTTTAACGCGAGGCCATGTGACTTCCGCAACATTAAAAATCCGGCTTGGAGTATACACAGCGATCCAGCAAGATCCAAGGCTTAGCCTGGACTTACGCCGCGAGATCCAGCAAGAACCAAGATCCAGCTTGGACATGGTCAGAGATCGAGGAAAATCCAGATTCAGACAGGGAGTAGCAATATCTCACCTGGTCAGGAACCGGGGCGTATCTACATAGAGGAATTACAATCATGTCCACCTGAAAAAGTAGTAAGGTGCCAGAGAGCATATAAAAGATCAGTTTTATTCAGACGGTACGGCTTTTCATGATCAATAATTTCAAATGGGAACCCTAGCTGGAAGCGAGAAACCGGGTTCTAGTGCTTGTAAGGGATCGATTGAAGCCAGGAACCATGCACTGCTCTTTATAAAATAGCCGATATGATGCAGGAAACCAGAGTCTGATGTTTGCTGAGAAGCCATTTGGGACAAGGAACCCATATCTGGTGTTTAAGAAGAAACCAGCGAGAACCAGAAAACCAGGGTGTTGCGTTTGCCATGCGACCATTGAAATCCACTAACCAAGGACTGGCATTTACGAAACACTAGTAGGAACCCGGAACCAGAATCTTGTTTACATGAGGGAAGTGACTGACGTGAACCAAGATTCAGAACCAGCCGTAATGTCTGGTCACGAACGCCTCGAGTACCAGTTCCGTGCATGAAGGCGCTCATGGCCCTGAGGGACGGTGGCAGCGGTATAGTGGTGGTGGTACAGCCGTGGGTGTGATGGAAGAACACCTGGCTGTTGCAGTGCTCCCGCGACTGGCGGAACCTGCGTCAAGCTGGATTTATGCATGAATTTTCCGCTCACATCCTCGTTCCGGGCTACTTCGCGACATTGCCGTTGCTCGTAACCAGCGTCTGGTTCGCACCGATGACAAGCTGTTTCCGGGCGAACGAATCGCTCATAAAAGCCCCGAGTGCGTTTTTGCTGACTGGTCTTTGGTAGCGTCAGACTCCATCGACAGGATCACGTCCCTTTTACAATCGTAAACATGCGCTCGATTTAGCGTCCACCTTTCACATGCATTCCTCTGAGACTTTTTATGGAAAGCTGTCTTCACCTATTCCGCATCCTGGCCGGAGTGGGTCCTTCATTCTGCACTCCTCTTGGCTATACTTGGATTTACTCCTGATAAAACCGAATTCTTTTTAATTTTTTCTGTATTAAACAAGGTCTATCCTTTTCCCATATTTGCTGATTGCCTCGCCAACGTCTTGCAACATCGTAATATAATGCCCACACTACTTTCTTTTGGACTTGGCGGCGTTGTCTGGCGGCATTCCTTGGCGGCTGCTGTTTGGAGAGTTCAATAGCGTCTCGAGATCCTTTTTCTGATATGCTTTCCTTATGTTACAGATATCATTCTCCATTTATCATTTTGTTTGATGAGATTCCGAAAGATGTTCATCGCTTCATCATCCAACGGAAACACTCCTGGTCACACTTGAGCAGTTTTTCGCGACGAAAGAACTAGTTCGAGCAGAGGGGAATGGTCTTGTTGGTTTCGCTCCTAAGCGGTTCAATGCTTTTTTGTTTTTGTTTTTTACCCGAGATCTGCGACGGTCTTTACGTCATCCACTGTGAGTCTCCTTACTTGAAAAACGGTGCAGAGATGCTGTCGTTGCACCTTTCACAATTTTTGCTCGAATGTATTGACAAGTGTATCAAATTAAACTCTAGCTCATTACTGCGAACTTATCAAAGCCATCATGTCACTGACCTCATGTTCACTTCCTTGGCATTTCGAACTTATCAAAGCCATCATGTCACTGACCTCATGTTCACTTCCGTGACATTTCGATTAACTTAGCTGTCCAGGCTAGAGGTGGATGCTTGAAGAGGCTGAGGCTTTGAGCACCGATCTGGAGTTAAACCTTATTTAAACTTATTTGTTCAAAGGTCATAATATGCGTACCTCAAAACGTATAACGAGTCAAAATACAGGCCTACACACCCTGTAAATTAGGTATCTAGCCGCCTTAATTTTTGAGACCTCCGTGCTAAGAATGACCCCCACCCAAGCCAGCTGTTTCCGACCGCCCGCTCGGGCGCTCGCTTAGTTACGCAACCTGGTACAGCTGCGCGGGCAACGGCAGTAAAATATGAGCCCGCTTTTCAGCATGCGATCAGACGGGCAACAGCGTGTTACCTATTTTACCATTTTAATCACTGTACAATTCTTGGAGACCCTTTGTGTGCCGTCCAAGCTCAAGCTGCTGAGGCATATTTAGGGAGCAAAGTTTAAAGTGTCGGGTCAAATAACAGTCGCTCCATTCAGCGTGAAGATGTAACGCACATAGCACGCGACTGTCTTCTCATACGTTAATGCTTTGTGTTGGTGATAAATGCATGTCGGCAGTTGCTGCTGAGGTCATAGCGTTGGGCCTCCATGCGCCAGCTATGTTATGGTTAGCGAGAGGGCGCTGCTCGACGGCCTCAAGCGCGTTTTATTTTTATCTCCTGATTACGAAAGACATAACTTTCCGGCGCACGCCTTGTTCCTCTATTTTCCGTTATTCTCGACTGTTGTTTTTTTTGGTTGTTGCGGCGTTCCATGCATTCGAGGCAACTCAAGTGTCTCTCAACGCTTGTCAGCTGGAACATTGAGTTTTGGATGTTGTGTTGTACTCAATGGTGTGAAATGAGCATGGGCCATCCTCCATTGGTTTGGAAAGGGACGGTTGTGCCGTAATCGAAACAAAAATATATGCAAAATGCACAGAATGTGAAGGCGACGGATGCCCCGATACGCTGTGTTAGCCAATACCGATATACGAAGACTAGATTTTCCACAGCTGTTTTCTTTTCTTGTTTGGACACCGTGACTCCGACCACAATTCGCTTGGCTGACAGGCTTGTGTCGGCTTCTGTCGGATCTGTTTGAATTGTGGTAAACCAAGCTTGAGGCCAGATGGCAGGGTTGTTTACTCTTCTGAAATTCGCGAGAGCTGATATAAGTGTTGTGAACTGTCCCCACCCACACCACCAGTACCACAACCACACGCCTATGTTCCTCTACACACGCACAAACGCACACACACATACACGCGCATAGTTGTATATACACATACATACACCCACACCCACACCCATATATATATATATATATATATATATATATATATATATACATATATATATACATGCATATATAACAGAACCGTCTTGAACGCTTCACCTTCGTTTAAAAGGAATGTTTCACGTTTGAAGATATTGAAGGAATTATCAGATATGATGAAACAGGCTCGCGTATAACTATTGGTATACTTCTCAAGTGGAAAAGACTGCTCTAGACGGCACAATACTCTGTCGAGTAAAGACACTCCTCACTGGGTCATGGTTTGATTATGTCATCGCACCTTGCACAACATTGATTGAGAGTTAGTTG